GGCGGCGCCGGGCCCGGCGGCCGCTCTGCCGGTCCCCAGGGCCGCCCCCGCCCGGCGTGCGGGCACGGCGGGGAGAGGCTGGAGAGACGCGGAAGGGCTTTCCCTTCCCCCACCTCCACTTCCCGTTCCCGAGGCGCCGTGCCCCTGGCAGCCCGCTGCTCCGGAGCACCCGGCCTGCCGTCCCCAGGCAGCCCCGCGCCTCCGGGGGAGGTGGGATCCATGTGATTTACGGGAGGAAGGAGGCCGGGGATGAGGAAGGCTGTTTTGCTTCCTGTTAGGAGGCAATAATTGGGGAAGTGTGAGGTCAGGGAGCAGAGGGACTGTGTGAGAGCTGCAGTACCATGTACTCTTTTTGTGGCAGTTGGAAACTCAAATTTAAGGCAGATTTTTCCAGAAAATCTCGAAAGGAGCAAGATGTTTTGTGAGACCTGAGTTATCACTGCTCCTTGTCATCCTCTGGGGGATTCAGCCTCACAGCAGCTGCCTGTTTCCAAGCTAGGGTGTGGTGTTTTGTGTGCATGGTGCACTGCTTTTGCCTTTATGTAACGCATGCTCTTGCTTACTTTCCACTTTAAAAATTTATATTTTCATGGCTGTGGAAGCGGTGAAATGACTCAAATGTGGAAGAGATCAAAAAATGATGTTTCAAACTTAGATGAAGTTAGAAGAATGTCTAAAATATCCAAGTGGTTACAGTAAGACAGATTTTCTGTTTGACCCTGTTTTATAAGTAGAGATGCGCTGATATGCCTAGGAGTGCATAGCAGCACCTAGATCTTGCTATCCTCTTCCCAAGAGGTTTGAAGACTCTGCCTTCTCCTCCTTAAATCCCATTTCAAGGACACATCTCTGTTGATACAAGTAGTAATGTGATCCAGAAGTATAAGTGGTAATTATGTTTCTTCTAGCCCCTTATAGAAAATACAAGTAACACTAATCTAGTGCTGTTGTTCCTGAAGGTATGCTGAAAATACTTTGACTGCAAGTTGTCTTGCCATGAGTGAATGGTTAAGATTGGAAGGGATCCTTGGACATCATGTTGTAGAGTCATCTAGAGCAGGCTGCCAGTACTTTGTGTAGGTGCCTTTTGGAAATCTCTAGGGATGCAGACTCCACAGCCTCCTTGGACAACCTGTGGCAGTGCTCGGTCACCCTCGTAGTGAAAAAGTGTTTCCTTGCGCTCAGATGGCACCTCCTGTGTTTCATTTTGTGCCCATTGCTTCTTGTCCTGTCAAATAATAAAAGACAGAATGACAGTTTCATCTTGTCTCTGTATATTCTTGGCAGCACTGCCTGTGCTTTTGTGGCTGATGGAGTTAAGTTCTGAACTTTCTTCCACTCACTGATTTTGTTTATTTTTTTCCCTGAAAATGAGTGCAGAGACTCATAGAGACTCTTCCTGCTTTGCTATAAGTGAATAGAATGAGCACTCATCCATTGTAAATTTAAATTGATTTCTCTATTAGTCCCGTATAAAATTGATTGTCCTGTATGAGTGGAATTTTCCAAGCCTGAGAGTATATTTTATTGGCTGAAACACCAAAGATGGGTAACACTGCAAACTCATGGAAAATATGCATGTAGAAATATACATGTGATACCTTAAGATTTTATTTCTGATGCATTAAGTTATGCCATCATTGTACAATAAAACTCTTATTTTGAATATTCAGTTTTATTGAGCTTAAAAAAAAATCAGCTGAATGGCATTTGACAAACACACCCTTCTCACTCATCCAGTTGGGACTATAAATAAATGCAGGAATAGATGCAAAGAGGGAAACATTGATTTTCATGAGAAATAAATCACACTGCTCCTTTATATACTTTCCTTTCATGATACAGAATTGATAATATTGCATGCTTATGCGGATGATAGTGGTGATGTAGTTTTATAGTTAATTTCAGTAGAGACATAACTAGAACCCTGAAACTCCTCAAATTCAAGGAGGAAAGAAGGTGAACCAAATAACAAGACTTTTTTTTGTCTCAGACTTATAATAATGGTGTATGAGCAAAATAAGTAGGAGATAGTGATGTAATGATAGGGCAAGTTCAGAGAGGTCTTTGATTCATATCTTACTTCATGTTTAGTCAAAAGATTTTAAGTGTTGCAAAGGCAGTAAGCAGTTCCATGTACCTTACTATTGCTGGCTTTAGGATGACTGTGTTTAGCTGTAGTGCAATTCAAGTTTAAAACTGGCAGTGTTCAGCATAATTGAGAATATAGAAAGGGGCATAATTGGAATAATGGCAAACCAGATTGTTTCAGTTCAGGTCTTTAAAAGCAAGGAAGGAGAAGAACCAGAAGGAGTGTTTCAATATTCAAGACGGTTTTGAACTCAATCTTGTTCCTCAGATTCCCATTTTTAAAGAGATTTTTGAAGCCTTGTTTTTCTTTCAATGATGCAATGAGTGTTGCATCCTTGCAACACCACAAGAACTATATGTAGCAAATAAGGTGTGTAAGATTTGCGTGGCTTCAAAGATCTGAAGCTGGACCATTGCCAGTGAAAGTTACTGGTTTTAGCATCCAGGAGCAGGAGTTTTCAGTGCTAAAGACAGCTTTTGTGCTCTGCAGTTTTGTAGTTGTGCTATTCACATAGGTCACTGAAAGTTCAGAAGCTTTTAGGTATGTTGAATAACATAAGTTTGTTTGCTTACTGATTCAGTTTGTTTATTTAAAAATGGAGTGTAAGAGTGGAAACCTTGAAGGCCTGAACTCTCAAGCAACAGCCATCACTTCTGCACCCTTCCTATAGATAATGCATCATCGCTTAACAAGTTTTGAATGAAAAACCTATTCATGTGCACAGGATATTTGAAGTAGTTTTGTTATAGTGACCTTTTTTGGCAGTTCAGTTTTATTCCATTTTATCTAGAAATTGTTTTCTTACTTGTAGCTACAAAAAACCTAATAAACATAAATAAAAATATTTTAATTAGCATATTAGTGGGAATATGAAAGGTACAATTTATCTACATGAGTGTAGGCCATAATTAATGAAAGGTACTGATTTTTACTGTAAAAGTTGCAATTGCTAATGTAAATACTCATTTATAAGCAATGGCACAAATGAAAAGCAGCTCAAAACATATTTAAATTGTAAAACTAGTATTCTCTAGTCCATTTTTGGTGACTTGAAGGGACATGTTTTGTAGGTTTGGTTGGGTTTTTTGTTTTTAATGTGAATCTACAAAGCACAGGAGTTAAATAGCTGTGTATGATTTGAGATACGGCCTCAGAAAATCAGGATGCCTTCAGCGAGAAAAGATAACACATTAAGTTTTTAAATACTAAATCAGCTCTTGCATTCCTTAAAATGCTGAAAGTAATAAATATGGGAATTGTCAAACATATTTTTTTGAAAAAGGAATTGCACCTCTTTCAGTAAGTTCATATCTCAGTAGTTTTACTTTTTCTGAAAGATGAGGTTTCACAGTGTGATTAGAAGAAAACTTCGCTTATAATGAGGAAGTAGTCCCATTTGTGAAAGTGAGCCTGGATGGCTTCCAGATATTTCCTGGTGCATTGGGTAACTTTGTAACTTCTTAAATTTGTAGATTTTGGCACCTAATTTACCTAATAAAGTTAAACTAAACTCTGCAGTGTAGTTTTGTCAGATTAAGGGAAACCCATTTCTTAAGTCAGTGCTTTGGAATGAAAGGTCTGTGCCAGTAAAATGAATCTCTCACCTGTAATGTTATCTTCAGAGCGTAATACATTACAGCAGATTGCACTTACATGTACAAGCCCACCAATGTGAAAAGCTCAGATACTTTTCTCAATGCAAATATAAACCTTTTTTCTAAAACTGCTTTGAAATCATTAGCAGAATTTTTGACAGAAAAAATAGTACTTTTCTAATTTACATTCGTTAAAGCAATTCCTATGCTTTACATCGTTCATTTTGAAAGGATTTAGACTTCTGACTTTCAGAATTGAGTCAAATGAGACCTGCAGACTCTAGATGAGTAGGAGCTGCATTTGAATTACCTTTTCTGGGTATAATTGCACTGTAATCTATAAAGTAAACTTTTAAGTCTTGCAAGTGTCCTTGATAACATTTTGATTAAATTCTTTAGTAAGAATGAGGAAGTTAGGAGTGCTTTTCTGACTGACATGTAATTTTGAATATTGGAGCCCTTCCAAGATTGAAGATTTTCATGTCCATCTCAGGATATACATGAAAATGTGTGTGAAGGTAGTATGTTGTCTTGAGTTAGTTAGTTGGGGTTTTTTAACTAAAAATGCATCAATACCATTGAGATTGAAGGACAGATACTTGAATCACTTTCTTAGGAAACTGTTAAACACTGTCTGAGGAAGTGCTCATGTCCTGTATGTGTAACTGCAGATAACTTGGTTTGCTTCTATAGTCATACTGGCTGGAAGAAATTTCTGAAGGTAACTCAGATGCTGGTTAGTCAAAATGGGCCAGCTTAGGTAAGGTTGCTTAGAGATTTGCCCTTTGAGTTTTGGGTATCTCCAGGAACAGAGACTGTACTAGCTCTCTGGATGAGGTGTTGCAATGTTTGTCTATGCCCACGGTCAGAAACTTATCCTAATTTATAATTGGTGCTGCTTGTCTTTTACTGTGTACTCCACAGTAAGTTACTGTGCAGATCAAAATTGATTGCCTTTTTGATGAGAGAAAAGTAGTTATTTGAAGCTTGATGATGAATACAAATGAAACCTATAATTATAAATAAAAGATCAGTGATTTCTAAAACTTCAGGTCATTCTTTCCTTAGTACTAGCTTGAAGAAATTTGGTACCCTTTGGGGATTATGACTTCTACCATGTCAGGGAGTATTGGAGTATTCATAATGCAGGGGCACCTCGGGACTCGGGACCATCAAAAGCCCCCTTCTTGCTGTCTTTGTACTCTCAAAACT